GCTGGCATCATCAGTTGAGGTCGATGATGGAATCACTGGTAGTTTTTTGCGACTTGTCGGTACCAACATCCTTATATACCCGCCGTTTGTGAATTTTGGTTTTTGTTTCTAAAATCTTACTGTAAATACAAAATAAACGTATTTATTACTTAGTGAACTCAATAAAGTTTCCCATAAGTAATCCCATTATTAAAAAACAATCACTTTGAGAAGTTAAAAATGAAACAACTTACCTCAGCAATCAAATGTTTTCCACGTTTGAAACTTCACTAAAACATATTAAGTCACTTACAAGCTACCATTGTTCACAAAATAATTAATAATCACAATTATTGCATTGTAAAGTGTTGCCAGTTACTGCAGCAACAATTTTTCAAAATCAAGTAACACAATTTATCGATAAACGGCGCCGATAGCATCAACTCCACCCAAAAACAGAATTTTGTTCCTAATAGCCCCGGTGTTCCTAATAGCCCCAGTTTACGGTAAGACATATTTTCGTATACTTCAATAAATTTCAGAAATTTTCCAGTCATGTTATGCTGTCTCTACAATAATTATATTATATTATATTTGTAAGAACCAAAGATGTTAATATTACTCAGCTAAATTTCTGCATTAAAATTAGTTTTAACCAATGACCTAATGATGGTGGCGAAACAAACAACCGAATTAACGTCGTTAATTTTATAAAAAATAGAACATTAATAATAATAATAAAACATTAATAATAATAATAGAACATAATAATAATAATAGAACATTTTCATTTAAATTTTTAAGTAGTAGCAGTTCCACCCGAACTCTATCAAACAATAAAAATTATGTAAAAAAGAAATTAAAAATTTATTACTTCCAAATTCAATAATTCTAATCGTCTGAAAAATACCTGAGTTCTAGTGGGGAATCAGCCCTACACAATCTTGAGGAACACAAAATTATATTTCAATTTTTAAGTAGTAGCAGGTCCACCCTAACGCTATCAGACAATCAAAATTTTGAGAAAAAGGCATTCAAAATTTATTTCTTCCAAATTTAATTATTCTAGACATTTGAAAATTACATGAATTCTAGTAGGGACTCAGCCCTACACAATTTTGAAGAAAACAAAATTATATTTCAATTTTTAAGTAGTAGCAGGTCCACCCTAACGCAATTAGACAATAAAAATTTTGAGAAAAAGACATTAAAAATGTACTACTTCCAAATTCAATAATTCTAATCGTCTGAAAATTATCTAAGTTCTAGTTGGAACTAAGCCCTACACAATGCTTAAAAATATAAAATTTTATTTCAATTTTAAAGTAGTAGCACCATCACCCGAACGCTGTCAGACAATCAAAATTTTGTAAAAAAGACATTCAAAATTTATTACTTCTAAATTCAATAATTCTAATCATCTGAAAATTACCTGAGTTTTAGTAAGGACTCAGCCCTACACAATCCTTAAAAATATAAAATTTTATTTCAATTTTTAAGTAGTAGAACTCTCACCCGAACGCTATCACACAATCAAAATTTGGTAAAAAGACATTAAAAATTTATTACTTCCAAATTCAATAATTCTAATCATCTGAAAATTACCTGAGTTCTAGTGCGGACTCAGCCCTACACAATTTTGAAGAACGCAAAATTATATTTCAATTTTTAAGTAGTAGCAGGTCCACCCGATCGCTGTCAGACAATCAATATTTTGAGAAAAAGACATTAAAAATTTATTTCTTTGATATTTAATTTTTGTAGTCATAAGTCATCTGAAAATTAGCGAAGTTCTAGTAGGGACACAGCCCTATACAATCTTGAAGAACTAAAATTTTTATTTCAATTTTTGAGTAGTAGCAGGTCCACCCAAACGCTGTCAGACAATCAAAATTTTGAGAAAAAAGCTTTAAAAATTTATTTCTTCTAAATTTAATTATTCTAGTCATCTGAAAATTACCTTAGTTCAGGTAAGGACTGAGCCTTACAAAATCCTGAAGAACAGAAAATTTTATTTCAATTTTTAAGTAATATCACCCTCACCCGAACGCTACTAGACCATCAAAATTTAGTGAAAAAGAAATTAAAAATTTATTACTTCCAAATTTAATCATTATAATCTTCAGAAAATTATCTTAGTTCTAGTGGGGCCTCAGCCTTACACAATCTTGAAGAATATAAAATTTTATTTCCATTTTTAAGTAGTAGCAGGTCCAGCCGAACGCTATCAGACAATCAAAATTTTTGGAAAAAGACATTAAAAATTTATTTCTTTCAAATTTAATAATTCTAATCAGGGTCCTTACATAAGGTACTACTACACTTTAGAAGGATCTTAAGAGACCAAATTTAAAAAAAATTTCTGAGATCTTTTATTATAAATATGTAAAAAAACTTTTTTGCCTATCTTAGTACATATTTGGAGAATAAAAATAATGGTTTGTTTTTAAATTTTATTTAATATCATAATCTTTAGACCTAATTACCTGATGATGGTGGTGAACCAGATCACCAAAATGTCGTCAATTTTATAAAAAATTAAAAGATTCTTTTTCTTTTACATTTTATACATCTTCCAAAAATCGAAAAAATTAATTTATTAAATAATAGGAAGAATTTATGTATATTATTTTGAACAAAGTGAAACATGTTTAATTAATTTTATATAAAAGTATATTTTAAGAAATACAGAATTATACACTAAACACCAAACATTTATTTTTTAATTAATTTTATTAATTAAACAATTTTTTAAAATGCTTCTAATAAATTCTCGTAAAAAACACATAAGCAAAAACTTACGTAAGATAGGGTGGGTGAGTGATTCGAAAACTTGCAGATTTTTACAGACGTGGGTGCATGGATCAAAATTTAAGAAAAATGCCTTACGTAATTTATAGACGGTCCCTTTCTTAAGTTGACTTATTTACTTATATCAACTACATAGTTGTGTTGCATCATTTTTTTTATCATCGAGTAAGTGAACCATAAGGTCGAAGGAGCTTTAGTATTTGGCAAATGTTCAAAGCATGCTATTAATATCTATTCTGAAACAGCTTTACAATTGTTGTTTTCTTGACTTGTAGTGAAATTGTTAGCTTGTAGCTTGAATTGATTTTAACTTAAATCAAAATCGCATATTGGACAATTTTTTAGAAGCTATATTTTTTCGTCTATTTAAAAAATTATGAAGATTTTTCGTCTATTTAAAAAATTATGAAGATTTTTTGCATAACTTTAAAAATTATTATATATAATAATGATGCTATAACTCGGTTGATAATCCTGACTCGGAGTGATCGATTTTTTTCATCATCTTAATATTTAAAAATTATTGTTCCGATTGTTAAATTCACTTAAACTAAAATAATAGTTAGTACTTAAAAAAATGGAAGAAAGCAAAATAGTATTAAATTTTTTATAATAATTCAACTTATTCAATCACACCGGTCCACAAAAGCAGATATTCAAAATGGCGGATTCAATATGGCAGTCGGATGCTTAAAAAATTCTTAAATTTTTGTAAAATCTAAAAATTCGTAATTTTTAGAAAAGTCACTTTACGATTATTCTTTTGGTACACATAATGTGTTGTTACACGTCATGATTGTAAATTTTTGTGTCGGTCTCTGATAAAAACTCTTTATCAGGAATATAGATTCTACAAAAAGATTTGAATCATAAATTTAGAAAACGCATGAATAGATTAAGAGAATTTTTAACTATGGCCTGAAATTATGCTGGAGACTCAAAAAATGCTAATGATGGAATATTCTGATCAAATTAATTCCATTAATTTGGCTAGTAAATCCTGGCAGAGCGGTCTTTGAATTCCTCTAATTGGTACAGACACGTTTTAAGAATGCTATACAATATATTTAGGACTCCGTCAGTGGAGAGATACGAATTAGTATTCTTTCGCTGTGTGCCCCTGCAATTATATATATATATATATATATATATATATATTGCGATCATGATACTGCACCAAGAGGGTTTGCACATGCAAAAGAATTAGGGATTAAAAAAGGCTGACAAAGTTACGAAACACACATTATTTATTAAATGGCTTACCATTTTTACAACCAGCGGAGAGGGAATAAAGGCGAACCGTCCGAGTGAAAGAATAAAGGATAACAGGCGGCTTCGTTGCGCAAAAGTGAGTGAAGATGGAAAAAACTTAGGAAATGAGAAGCAGTGAGAGAAAAAAGGGAGAAAAGATTGAATGAACGAGATGTAAAGAATTACGAGGAGAGACCAGGGAAGCTAAAAATAATTGTAAAGCAAAAAATCTCTCCAGGTTTAGACTATGCTATAAAAGATTTGCCACCATATTTTAGTATTCGCATAGCAAGTATAAATTAACTGAAAAAGTGGACGGCATACGAGAAACTCGTATGCTCATTATTTATGAAGTTGTCTTATGTTCGATCAGCTAAGTTAATTTTTGTTTTTATCGTCTTATCTTTTCTTATTCTCATTATGTCTTGATTTTCTTTGTAAGATGTCACTTGACACACCTAAAAATTCTTATTCGAATTATTCGAAGAGACCACTTAAACCAGATTCAAATACTCAATCATCAAGACCTGCAAAGTTTAACACCACCAGTGTTAAACGGCACATAGAAAAATTTCATGCAGTGGAATATTCTGAAATTTAGGAAACTATTCCTATGCAATAAACTGAAGTAAATTTAAATTTATTATTCTATTGTATAGTTACATACTATTGTTATTTAATCTATTTCTATCTCTAAGAATATTGGGTCAACTTTTACAAGCAATGTTGAATAGGGCGGACATAATCAATGTTGAGTCCATGTTTTCTTAACATTGCCCACCAATATTGACACAACATTGAGCTCAAATGTTGTGCTCTTTATAACGAGCACATTTTAATTATCGTATAGTTACCTAATGAATTCTCAACGCAAAATTATTTTATACATATTAAAAATACATTTTCCTTACTATGTAATTTTTTATATTTTATAAAAATATATTTTTTATGTGTTTCAGGCTGTGCATTCGTTAAATTTTCATCGCACCAAGAAGCACAAGCGGCAATTAATTCTCTTCACGGTAGCCAAACTATGCCGGTGAGTATATAATTCTTACAATAAAATGAAATTTTATTCGAGAAACTCTTCTTTAAAACAATATATCTCCTTTTCCTAGTCATTTAGAAAACAATTGGCACTGTAAAAAAAGTAATACAAATATTGCTTGCAATTAGTCAGAAATGTTTTGTACAAAAAGAACAAGTCAAAAAAATGTAGAATTCACTCGAGAAATATCCTGTTCTCGAAATATCATTTAAGATGTTTTAGAAACAACTGATTCCTGTAGTAATGTAGATACAACAAGTAGTATCTTCAAGAGCAAAAGCGTCATGTAAACAGAACTGCCTCAATTTCAACGGCAAGTCAATTTTAAGAGTCGCAAAGGGAAAATAAACGATTTTATCAGGGTTTATATTGCAAGAACGAAGAAACATCACGAGACGGAAAATAAAAATAATAACTGGAGCTTGGGCAATGAAGCAGTTATAGTTACCTAGGGTACGAAGCGAGGACGAAGGAATAGTTAGATAACATTGCTTGGTCAGAGACTCCATAGAAATAAAAAGGACTTGAAGCTTCAAAGTCCATGCAGAAGTTCACGTCACATCAGCAAATACTAGTAGTAATGACTCGCCAAACACAAATCTGCATAATCTGCTTCGGAACATCCTGGTCTTAGGACAAGATAGGAAACTTCTAGATATAATTAAGTTAACATGAAGTATTTCCTCTCTTTTGCGTTAGATTTACTTTTAAGTAAATTAGGTACTCTACTTCAAATGATTAACCATTTGTGATAATCGCACATTTAGGAACTTTACTTTTATGAAACATTAATCTCATTTGATGAAAAATTATTCGACTGTTGTAAGGTAATAGTATTTTTCGTTAAAAAATGTTCCTCTTTAAATTAACCAACAGAACAGGTTCGAATTACAGTCAAAAATAAACTATTTTTGTCTCGAATTTTACGTTATTTTAACCCCAGAACTGCCGGCTGCAAAATACTAAATGTGACTGTCCACGAGAAAACAAGGCTTAGCTCCCAAACGTGAATTTCACAGGGCGAGCGATTGAAGTACTACGATTGAAGTTAACTACGCTTGACATACCCATCTTTAAAACGATATATTGTCGAAAGTAATTGATGTTTTTAACTTCTGACTTTTGCATTTGAAAAAGCAACATAAAATCTGTCGATTACAGTAAAAAACTCAAATTGATTTTTTCGACCTAAGCCGTGTTTTATCGTAGAGAGTCAACGATTGAGGTTAACTGCGCTTAACATACCCATCTTTAAAACGATATATTGTCGAAAGTAATTGATATTTTTAACTTTTGACTTTTGCATTTGAAAAAGCAACATAAAATCTGTCGATTACTATAAAAAAATCAAAATTGATTTTTTGGACCTAAGCCTTGTTTTCTCGTGGACAGTCACAAATGTGCCCAGAATGCCAAAAATAAAAAATCATTTAATTTGGCTGAAACTTGTTACTCAGGGGTTTTCGGGGTCGCTGATAACGAATCTGATGTCGGTTTATCAAAATTCAAAATGGCGTATCCAAAATGGCGGACGGCTTTTTTAAATATCTATCCAATTTACCTGAAATTTGTTACTCGGGGATTATAAGAATTTGCTGATTACGAATCTGATGTCTTTTTTTAAATTTAAAATAGCGGATACAATATGGCGGACAAGTTTTTTAAAAATTGATTTAATGTACCTGAAATTTGTTCCTTGGGGGGTTTCGAGGTCGCTGACTACGAATCTGATGTCGGTTTCAATATGACTTAAAAATAGTTATTATTTTTATAAGATGACATAATATTGAAAACTAATGACATTTGAAATATATTTAAATTTATAGGTGATTTTCAAGTTTCTCAGTTTACCTTTTTTAGAAACACCTTTGTCATCAGCTAGTATATTTATAAATAACATAAGTCTCCAGGATTCTTTGACATTGTGCACTTTTTATATTTTATCAATTGTTTTAATACATATGAATATACTAGCTGATGACAAATGTTATAAGATGTTTATAAAAAAGATAAACTAAGGAATTTAAAAATCACGTACACATTTATCTATTTCAAATATCACTAGTTTTCAATATTATATCATCTGGTGTATTTCACGTCAGTTCAACACAAAAAATTTTATTAGGTTTTGGGATTCGGTTGAAATTGGGTAGATTATATCCTCTGGTGGTAGTAAATAAAATCCCTAAGCGATTTTAAAAAATTTCAAAAATTGGCGGACATATTGGATTTTTAATTTTTTTGTACTTTTTTTTGAAAAATATATATCTCTGCTTCTTCTTAACGGATTTTAGTTTATGACCTCTTAAATTGTTCGTATTGAAATATACTTTTATTTAAAAAATTAAAATTAAAAAAATTATTTAAATTTTTTGTTTAAAAAATTAATTTAATTTTTTGTTTAAAAAATTAATTTAATTTTTTGAAAAGCCATAGAAGAAATATGCTACCTTCAATTTTGATAATTTTTTTACCATTTGTAGCCATAAATGTGTTGAACTTGTCCTGAAATTTTCATCGTGGGACAGCCAGTAGTTTTTGAGAAAAAAAATAAAACGTAAATCCTCGCATAGCGCTGTAGCGCTCAGTTTTAATGCCGCACGATTGTAAATGGAATATTAATGAAAGTACGAGTTTTTATTAACCCTAGAACTAAAATATGATTTTTTTATGGACTAACGAAAAACTGGGGTGGTTTGGTACCCCAGATTTGAAACAATTGTAAAAGGTTACCTTTTTTGTAATTTTTTTAATTTGTCAACAATGTGGCTAATTTGAAAAAATTAAACGGATTTTAAAAGGTAAATAAAGAAAAACTGTAAGACCTCGGAAACTCCCCCGTAAAAAATAGAAACCTCCTTTGTAATAAATAATTTTTATTCTATTTTAAAATCATTTAACATTTGTATATATTGTAAATAATATTTAAATTTTCAAGTTGCCTTAATCAAAATAAAATTGTCTTTATTTACCTTTTAAAATCCGTTTAATTTTTTCAAATTAGCCACATTGTTGACAAATTAAAAAAATTACAAAAAAGGTAACCTTTTACAATTGTTTCAAATCTGGGGTACCAAACCACCCCAGTTTTTCGTTAGTCCATAAAAAAATCATATTTTAGTTCTAGGGTTAATAAAAACTCGTACTTTCATTAAAATTCCATTTACAATCGTGCGGCATTAAAATTGAGCGCTACAGCGCTATGCGAGGATTTACGTTTTATTTTTTTTTTCAAAAACTACTGGCTGTCCCACGATAAAAATTTCAGGACAAGTTCAACACATTTATGGCTACAAATGGTAAAAAAATGATCAAAATTGAAGGTAGCATATTTTTTCTATGGCTTTTCAAAAAATTAAATTAATTTTTTAAACAAAAAATTTAAATAATTTTTTTAATTTTAATTTTTTAAATAAAAGTATATTTCAATACAAACAATTTAAGAGGTCATAAAATAAAATCCGTTAAGAAGAAGCAGAGATATATATTTTTCAAAAAAAAGTACAAAAAAATTAAAAATCCAATATGTCCGCCAATTTTTGAAATTTTTTAAAATCGCTTGGGGATTTTATTTACTACCACCAGAGGATATAATCTACCCAAGTTCAACCAAATCCCAAAACCTAATAAAATTTTTTGTGTTGAACTGACGTGGAATACACCATCTTATAAAAATAATAAATATTTTTAATTTATATTGATCGATTTTAAAAAAGTTGTAACAGGTTTCAAGTAATTTGAATCGATTTTTAAAAAAGTCGTCCGCCATATTAGATCCGCCATTTTCAATTATGAAAAACTGTCATCAGATTTGTAATCAGCAACCCCGAAAAACCCTGAGTAACAAATGTCAGGTAAATTGGATCAATTGTTAAAAAATCGGCAGCCATATTAGATCCGCTATTTTGAATTTTGAAAAACCGACATTAGATTCGTAATCAGCGACCCTGAAAACCCGCGAGTAAGAAATTTCAGGTAAATTGGATCGATTTTTAAAAAAGTCGTCCGCCATATTGGATCCGCCATTTAAAATTTTAAAAAACCGACAATAGATTCGTAATCGGCATCTGGGCAGCATGAAAAATACGACTTTGCAGGCATACTATTTAAATGTTGTTTTGATTTTTTTCTAGTATTTTTGGGCATGTCAAGTGGAAAAAAGTTAATTGATTCAGAAGAAATCAATTTTAATGCTCTGGTTGAAACTATTAAATTGTGTTTATTTGATAGTCATATTTTGTGGAATAAATATTATTATTTAGTATATAATAATATATATTATTAATATATTTAATTATTTCTACTAAACATAACGTTTTATGTCAAACTTTTTAAATTTTAACATTTTTTCATAAGTGTCTCACCACTGGACACATTTTTTTCTGTTGACAAAAGCGATGTGCTCGGAAAATTAATCATAACTTTTTTGAGTTCATCTGAACACTATACTTTCTTTGAATAAAAGTTGCGTATTTAAGTTACTTTTCGAACTGTATATTTTATTTACAAGTTCGTTTACCCATGCACAATTTATGGGTCATAATAAAACCCGTCTCATACCTAGACACACTCCCCTATAAATTTACAAATATCAAATTTTAACATGATGACACATCTAAGTTATACGTAAAACGCGTAACATATTTATTTTTAAAAAACCAGGGATGGGAAACAATAACAAAATCGCCTTTATTGCGTTTTTAATATCAAAATAGAGTCAAATTGATTTTCTAGTTGGTAATAGAAGGTACTGAACCAGATCCGGACCTCCTCCAACAACGTGTCCTCCCCAAAAAAGCCTTTTTTAAAGTGCTCTACCGTGGAGTAGACGGCGATAATTTAATTTTGTTTCCTCGTATGTGATGAAACTATTGTAAGCGGGCTTCCACCGCTTCAGTGGTCGAACGACCGACTTTAAAAATGAGTTTTTTGGGGGAACACGTTGGAGGTGGGTTGGGTCTTTGTTCAGTACCTTCTAGTACTAACTAGAA